GACAATTTTTACTTGTCCAGAACGACATTTTGAGTGGCTCGTTATGCCATTTGGACTTAAAAATGCTCCATCGATCTTTCAAAGAAAGATGGACCAAATTTTCAAGAAATATGATAATTTTTGTAGTGTTTATGTAGATGATATTTTAGTACATAGTAAAAATAAAAATGAACATAGGAAGCATGTAGAGATAGTATTACAAGAATTTTTTCAATAATGGAATTGTGATTAGCAAAAATAAAATAGCATTAGAAAAGCAAGATATAGAATTTTTAGGAATGTATATCAAGTCAGGTACAGTTACAAGATCATATAGCTAAAAAGGTGTTAGAATTTCCAGACAAATTAGAAGATAAGAAACAGTTACAAGCATTTTTAGGATTGCTAAATTATGCAAGAAATTTTATCCCTGATTTAGGAAGAAAAATAGCAGTATTACATAGTAAAACTAGCAAAACAGGACAAAAATATTTTAATAGTGAAGATATTAAATGAGTTCAAAAAATAAAAGAAGAAATTACTAAACTTAATCCATTAACATTACCATTAGATGATAATTACAAGATAGTTGAAACAGATGCTTCATCATTAGGATGGGCATGTATACTATACCAGAAAAAGCATAGGGAGTCTCCAAAGTCTGACGAACAAGTTTGTAGATATTCCTTAGGAAAGTTTAGTGATGTACAGTCAAGATTACCATCAACAGATTTAGAAATTTTAGGGATAATTAATTCATTTGAAGCATTTTCTTTATTTTTATATAATGAAGTATTTACGATTAGGACAGATTGTCAAAATATAGTTTTTCATTATAACAAGATACATACTAATAAACAGGCAGCCCGAAGATGGGTTAATTTTGTTGATTCAATTACAGGAAATGGTTTTAAACAAATTTTTGAACATATAAAAGGTAATGACAATACATTAGCTGATATCTTATCAAGATTAATTTGTTGAACATGTATGGAATATCGTGGACCATTATCAGCAAATAGCATAAGGCCGTAAGGCAGAAGAGTTTCTTTCAATGACATGATGATGCACCATTAACCTCCAACATTCAGTGGATTTCAAAATAGCATGAGCAGACTAGCATCACCACCAGTATCTACGTTTAACTTTAATGACAATATTGTTGAAGGAATCAGAAATCCAACTTTGAGATACAGGTAAAGGATACCAGAGCTTTCTGATAGGCAGTAGGTTCTGTTAGATAATTTTTGGAATATCCAAATTAAGCAGCCAAGTATGAGGTTAGGTCATGAAAAATTAATTAGAGCCTTGGAACAAGAGTTTGATAGCTTTAATTTTAATTTTCACCAAAACCAGCAGCATATTCATTCTCTTGAGCACAACCTTCAAGTCATCTCTAGGGACCATGAGTCATTACTTGATAAGTTTACCAAAATGAACTAAGAACTCCAATATCTTATAATGCAGCAAAAGGCAAGTGACACCTTGAAAAGAGAGTTGAAAATAGGTTTAGAAATTGATCAGCATAAGAATAAAGGAAAATAGGTTATTGAACCTATAGAACAAGAGGCTAATAAGCCCATAAAAGAAATTAAGATTGAGCTCTTAGAAGAAGATGTTGAAATGGAACAACATCAAAATAATGAGCAGCATCAGGTTCTGAGTGACAAAGAAAAACAAGAAAAATATGAAAGTTTTCTTATGAATATATCTTCAGACTTAATATTAGATGATGTTTTATTAGAAGAAATTTCAAAAGCAAAATTAAGAATAATGCCACCAGATAAGCAAAATGAGATCCTGAGTAGAGCATCACAGTCCATGAAGGAGTTACAATTACAATTACAATGTGCTTTGTATGAGTCCATCTTTGATCCAAAATCAGGGATTGATATTATTACAAAAATTTATCCACCATGTCTTTATGATAGTACAGAAAATTGTATTTGTAAACCAGAGGTTGGCATAGCTGTGGCCAGGATTAACATGATAGATTTGTAAACCATGACATTTTAGTTATGAGCATAAAAAAAAGCATAACGTGGTAGAAGTTACCCCTGCCTTACTATTAGAGTTTGATTATCTTGATAAAATATTCATTAACCGTATTTCCCAACTAGAATCATTTCCTGAAAAACTTATAAAAGTAGCAGAAGATTACCTGGAAAAGTGGAAAGAAATTTGCATAAGCTTTATTAGTAGTCATCCAGACTGGTATGTACATATGCATAAGGAGAAAGCTAAGCATATAGCCATGATTAATGAAGAGTCATTTTGACTATCCCCTATCTCCTCACATAGGTGGACTCTTTCATACAAAGAAATTTTAAAATTTAGAAGGATCCAAATGTTTGCTTTAGATGAGTTTGAAGATTTTTAGGTATGACATGGTACTAGTAGCAGAAGAAGAAGAGATGTATATTTACAGCAAGACAAGAATCAGTCATCAGCCTTACTGGAAGTCCCAAAATTTCAAAGAAGAAACATTAGAAATATATTACAAGGTGAAAGAAGATAGAGAAAGAGATGTAGAGCTAGTAGAAGGCGATGAACATTATTGGAATAATTTGACAGAAGAAGATCTGCATAACATCGACAACATGATGGAAACCTGAAGAGCTAGCTGTAAATTAGCATAAGTTTAATAGCATAATGTAAGATGATGTATTCCCAAACATAAATATCAAAATCATTGTGGACCCCGCTGTAATGACATAAGAGTAAATAAAGAAAAGAGTCTGATCCATTATGGACTTTTTATACACAAAATGTCATTTTGATTAAGAATGAATAGTGCCAAGCAATTTTCGTTAAAACTCCCTAAAAAGAATCCAATACAAAATTTCTAAAGGTAAAGGTAGTAAAATTAAACAAAACACCAATAACGATTCAGAGACTGCACACACGAGAAAGCCAATTGGTATTTTAAGCACATGCTAATAAACTAGATGGTTATAAAATAGTAAGATTTGAGCATTATGATGTCAAATTCACAGATGAGCAAGTCGCATGCTAAATTTTTTTAGGTAAATTACATAAAACTACCTCAACTATTGGGTCATTAACAGTTTCATACCTTATCTTTAAAAAGTTTCAATGTCATACCTTATCTTCGAATTTGTTGTAATGTCATACATTCCATCAGTTGTCTGTCAATTGCTCTGTTAAATGCTGACGTGGCATGAGACGGGCCCCACTTTCTATTAAAAAATTAATTAAATATTAACTAAATATTAAAAAAAAAACCCAGATCTCTTCCCCCGCCCCCCAAAACCTTCCTTCCAAACCCAGAACCCCACCCCCACCTCCCCCGCAGCCCCCCCACCCCTCTTCTCCCTCCTGAGCCTCCCAACCACCTCCCTCTCCTCAACTCTCTTCACCTCCTCTCCCATTCAAAACTTAAAAAAAATAAAAAACAACCAGTTGAGGTGGTCCAACTTCGACGGGAAGGATGAGGTGGTCCAACTTCGACGGGAAGTAATGGTTGGGTGGGGTGCGAAGATCTGGACAATCCGGGTTTAGATTTGTTTCTGATTGTTTTTTTTTCTTTTTTTAATTTAATTTAATTTTTTATAAGTTTTGAATGGGAGGGGAGGTGAAGAGAGTGGAGGAGAGGGAGGTGGTTGGGAGGCTCGAGAGGGAGAACTGGGGGGGGGGGGGTTGTAGGGGAGGTGGGGGTGGGTTTTGGGTTTGGAAGGAAGGTTTTGGCTGCCGGTCGGGGGGGGGGGAGACTGATGGGGAAGATGGGAATGGGATGGTGTTTCGCGGGGGAGGGGGGTTAGGGGATCTAGGTTTTTTTATACTATTTAATATTTAATTAATTTTTTTAATAGAAAGTAGGCCCTGCCTCATGCTACGTTAGCATTTAACAGAGTAATTGAAAGCCAACTGACGAAATGTATGACATTGCAACAAATTCGAAGATAAGGTATGACATTGAAACTTTTTAAAACGAGGCATGAAACTGTTAATGGCCCAATAGTTGAGATAGTTTTATGCAATTTACCCAATTTTTTTTGTTGGAGAGTTCCCTACTCTAATGCTATACAAAACCTTTTCACCGTTTCACGAGTAGATTATAACATATCAAATGGTGCAACAGATAACACATAATATCCATACAACATAGATAAATGACAATTTAGTTGATCTGAATAATGTGCTCTCACTCTTGCTACCTTTCAATCGAATTCAAATCCCTCAATACTCTCGTATTACTAGGAGGGAAAACTTGATGTAAGTCCAATTTTTTAACCAATATTAGAAATAATCCAGTTTCTTAAAATAAGTCCAAATTTTTAAATTTAGGATCATTTTATTATCAATAAGTATTATTTGTTGATAAGATTTATTATAAAAATTAATTTCTTTTTAGTAATCTCTTTAATTATTTCATTTTTTTTGTTATTTTTTGTTCTTCTGTCCAAACCCCATTTATAATTTTTTAAATTTTTTTTTTATAATCAACCTATATCACAGGTTGATTGTATTTATCTACTATATGAAAGATTTATATTTATAATAAACATGTATAGTTGTATCTTACTTGTAGGTATTATATTTTTGTATTTTGTAGTTATGTTTCATATCTTGCTTATGGATAGAATATATATTTAATTGTCTACCTATGCCATAGGTTTTTAATGTTAGTCTACCTATAACACAGATTAATTGCATTGCATTTTTTTTTATATATATACTTTATCACAAAAGGTAATGAATTAAGATTTTTTTCTTTCTAAAAATATAAAATTGAATAATTGAAACAAAAATATGTAATTAAATAACTCTACCTAGTCAGAAAAAACAACCTACACTTTTTGGACCGTGATCTAAAAGCCCCTCACCAGAATAATCGAACATCGCTCTGTAAAAGAAATATATTTCAACAACTACCCACTCGGCATGTTGGTTGAAAGTTCAGGCTAAAAGCCCAAAATATATTGGGCCCGTATACGATACCATTTCATCTAGCCCAACCCAATACGAAGCCGGACGTGAATTAGAGCTGTGTCCCCATCACTCTCTCCGCGACTGAAATGGGGGTTTTACAGAGGTTTTAGGGTTTGGAATCGAAATTCAGAGATTAACAGAGATAAGAAAAATGTCAGCTTCGATCGCTGGAAGATCGACAATTCTGCGCGCGTTTTTCCGAGCAGCGACGTCAACAGCAAGAACAAGAATTTCAGCAGCGCCATGCCCTTCGATTCCGTCCAATTTCATGGCTCGTCGCTCCCCTTCCTCAAGGTAGTTTCTTTCTTTGATATAGATGCAATATACTTACTTTTCAAATGTATATGAATGTAATAATCTTGTTTATACTTGCATTGGAAGGCTGTTGCGGCGTGAATTGAGCTCTCTTCAACCGCTCCACACTGCCATTGCGTCCGCTTGCCTTATCTCCAAGCTCCCCGCCCTGGCCACCTCCTCCGAAGGTTCCTACCGCTCCTCATTTTCTCTTAATTTGGTGTTGTTTCATCAATGTTTACGTCTTCCTATCGTTTTACCGGCGTGTTGTTTGTTAATTGCTATTCAATGTTCTATAGGTTTGTTATATAGTATGATGTTCATCTGTTTACTTTTGCCACTTTTATTGTCCTTTATTTCGTTATAAATGCTAATGTTAGTTGATAGATTAAGAAGGTAAGCTCTAACCATGTTAAATTTCTATGGATACAATAATCATAAATTAGCACCGTTTACCATTGATTCGTTAAATTGGCCAAATGGGTAAATGTTTGCAGTAGGGAAATGATTTCCACACACCCCTTTTCTTCTTCTGCACACCATTGTTTGCTTATGTCCTTTGATTATCGTTTCATTTCTTCAATCGAAATGCTAGAAATAAACATGGGGCTGCAGGGGGAGAGAAAGCCAAAAGGGATGTGCTGAAATCACTTCCCTAGTAGTATTGTTATATTCACTGCATTTACTGACTACATCTTTCGCAGAGGTGGGATGTACTTGCACTTGTCAGAAATGTCTTTGGTGAATAATGAATATGTTACAACTTACAAGTATTGTTGTTCAAAAGTTTGAAATTTATGTGGTTTATGCTATCAAGCATCAGTTGTCAAAACCAAATGATAAAAAAAGAGGAAAGAATGAGATAGCCACGATACCTGATTTATGTGCTGAATTTTCGGACTTCTTCTTTTACAAATTTAATAGGTGTTATTGGAGTTACCTGATGGTTCTATTTTCCCATGGGCAACAGGTAGATTTGTGAATTACATCAGTCCCATCTAGGAGCGTGTGCATGCATAGATCAAGACTTCTTCTACTGTTCTTGAATTTGCCGATAAGTTCCCTTGGAAAGTCAAAATGCTTGTCTTTCGAGGTTAACTGCTGAACATGCTTGTTTTGAATTAAATAGGAAATCTTTGGCATCTCGTGAAATTCTTCTTGTTTGTTACATGGTGAATTCAATTTAAGATTCATGAATTAGATGATGTACTTGGATTGCTTTGAAGAAATGTCAAGTTAAACAATTTGTATCAGAGTAACAAATAAAATACGAGACGAGTTGTCTTTGGACGGTTTGCCTTTGGGAAAAGAAATAACCCTGGTTGTGGAATGGTAAGGCCTGAAATCTAGGTCTCAGTTGTTTCTCTTTTATCAATATTCTTTTTGAGTTACAATGTCGTATATTTGATTTGCGAGAGATTTTGGAATGAGGACGTCTCTCTAAAGGAGTCCTGTCACTTGTACCTCTACTTGCTTAATAGGCAAGTATGTTAGTATCTATTGAACCGGCTGCTTGCTGTAGAGTGTATGTAGTAACAACTAGCAAGATGAGAAGAAGGCTATGTTATCAACTAGTCATGCGAAGCATATTGTTACTGAGCGATAGTTAATTTACTTTGTTGGAGACGGTGTGTTGGGATAGTTTAAGTTTGTTGAGCTTCTATTTTTAGCACAAAACAGAAGGCTTGTTTCGGAGTTAAAATGTCGTTTTGTTTTCTGGGGTAATTAGATTCACTTGATTTTTTTTTCCTTTTGATCTGAATGATCTTTCTTAGAAGCATAGTATCCATTGTTTTCAGTCATTTGTATTCGTTTCCTTATATAAATCACTCCATTGACACCCTTACTGCTATTTGCTGAGTAACAATCGATCATTCATTGCTTATCTTGTTTCACTTCGATCCTTAAATGATCGTATAGCTCCTGTTGGAACTTTGTTGATTTGTGAATGCAGATGAGTCATTTACTTAGAGATCAACTTTGATTTCAAATCTCTAGAGTCTAGATCTCAGTTAATTTTTTCCAGTAAATATTGTAAACACGATTTGCAGCATTTGCTCATGGCGCATCAGTCTGCTAACATTCTTTATTCATGAAAACAGCCCTCATCTTCCCACGTATCACGTTCTATTGGAAATTCTTCCCGCACATTTTTTTTTTTCCACGAGTGAACGGGATTTAGTTAAATTTTAACCCTTCACTCGTGAAAAAAAGTGTGCGGGAGAGCAACCCTAAACCAAACTGCTCCTACACAATCCCCCTATGAGATGCGAAGGCACGGTAGAAGAAGAGTGAACTGGATCGGCCCAATTGCATTACTTTTTCTCAATTGTGTTAAAATTTCAATGGGCCCGTATAACCTTGGTTGCAGCTATGATTTCCTTTTCCAAATTTGTTCACATGAGAAATTCTTTGGTGAAAAATCCACTATTAAAATTTATTTATATTATAACACGTGTATTTTTTTATTATTATACTTTATAGCAAAAACTGTGTTGCTCTTGTGGTTGTTTTATTGTTACACAAATAATTTTGAGCAATTAGCTAAAATGATCGGAAGCTAAAATTTTGGTTGCCAAACAAATCGATTGGACGTCCTCCTCGTCTCGTCATATCACCCTTAGTTCAACATTTGGATGCTTTCGAATCATCCGAACAACCAATTTCCCAATATTTTTGTACCAATCGAACACATACATGGGGATCCTCTAGTGACCATGAGATCAGAACTTAGAACCTCCTTCAATTGTTCAACGTAGAACGAGTACATACCTAGAGACTAAGCGGTAATCAGCAAGATGATTAAATGTGGCGAGCAAACTTGTTTTCCAAGTTCTTCACGTTCTCAACATTTTTTCAAAAGACATGCAAATTCAACACCAAAACACATGTACGTACACTTCAAAACAAACAAAAGAGGTGGTTTGGTTGGCAACATATTCAAACAAAAGATTCGTTTCTGCGATGATTTACATCTTGTCTAACATCTGCAACCTTCCTGAAGACAGCACAAGTTGACCAAAAACAGCTTCTTCCCCCAAATAGAAAGGCTTACTACAATTACGATATATCTACGTTTGGTATCGTTCGATTCTCGTCAAAGACAAATTTGGACCATATTATTGCTAGTTTATTGTGAGGCTTAACCCACTTCTTGACCCTTTTAATGTAGATAATATCGTATGTTAAAAAAATTATTTGCAATTTGTATTAAAAATAGCAATACAAATGTGCCAGCAAATGGAGCTAAATTATATTGTTAATATTTTCTGAAATATTATATTATTCTGATGATGCAGGAATTGAATGGCAATTTCGAAGTCAGTTTTCACTTGTTTTAACAACCAAAATGGACTTCTAACAACTTCCAAGAAGCAACAAATGCATCAGGTTTCAATGGATGCTTACATGCAATATCTTTGACTTAATTGGCAGATACATCGCATGATTATTTTAGTAATATATTTTAATACATATACTTACTTTGAAAAACCTAAGTTTTCACATGGCTTTATTTAATTAATTAGTAGATGAGATGTCATATTAAATTTGGTTGATAAATTAATTGGCCATATATTCAACTAGGCCACTGGTTGTGACTTGTGATTTTGAAAAGACTTGGAGAGAAAGAAGATCGACAGGGGAACTCATACTTAGTTATTGTCATGCGTGGGAGAGGTTTGTTGTGTAGAAAGACTTCATTGTCACAGGAGTATATTTTTGTGTAAGCGTAATATTGTTTACGTGATCTAATCACAAGATAAATAAGATCGAAGATATATCTTTTTAAATGAGCGCTTGGTCTTGACTTACAGTGTGAAGTGATCAAATACTGAATGAGCCACTCACAGAATCACACGAAGATATAATCATGGTTCAAATCAAACAATAGGTGCTTTCCAACGTGTTGTACACATTAACAGAGTGGAGTTATTTCCTCCAAGTGTAGCTTAGTTTCTATGAGATGTTTTGATTTTGATCATTTGAGTAGTTGACTTCCAAAGCCTAATGGTAATCAGTTTAAAGACTTGATTATTTGAAAAATTCTTTACCCACCTTCTCATAAATTTAAAATTAATCTTCATCTATGCCTATCAAATTCCTCTCCTTGACCTAAAACAACAGGCCAACATCCGAATCCTAATGTATGATTAATATATTTTGTATAAACTACAATAAATTCCAAAGCTTTAAGCTCTTGATAAACCTGAAAACATGATTAATTAGCACTCTTATAAACCATTAGATAGAAAATTAAAGAAACTAATTTGTTCATTAGCTGACTATCTCTATCTTGTCGGTGTAGAGCTATCTGTCTCTGTCTTCTGTCCATTTCTCACACACATGCCTGCTTACACGCACACAATATTATATTAAGAGATGGAGGGAGAAGGCCTTTGATTATTCAGAAGAAAATTTCAGTGCCCATCATCATAAACCCACGGAACACGACAATATTGATTGAGATCAGCAGAATTTTTATGCACTTAAACAAAGGGGCAAACCCCAATCATTTTATTTTATTTTACTAATTTTTTTGTTATTTTATTTATTTTCTTTCATTCTTCGAGAGCCAAGTTACCAACCCAGGCCCGCAACTTCCCTATAATATGGAAAACAGTTGGTTCCAATGTAAGTGGTCCTCTACTATAATGGTGAAGAAGAATGTTACTTTTACATTAAGGTGTGAGTTCGGACTATGTTGGCTATCTAATCTAATAAATCTATCTTTTGACAAAGAAAAAAAAAACAGTTGGCTCTGACACTATTTCATGTTTTCAGTTTTTTTTTTAATTTTTTTTAATTTTAATTTTTTATCAAATCATGTTTTCAGTTGAATAGCCAATTTTTTTTTTTGTGGTCAAAAGTTGAATAGGCAATTGCATGCAACATGCATGACATAATACATGCCTTCCAATTTCCAAGCAATTTCCAATTTTATGTAGATCCTCAAGAAAGAAAGGCCAAAATTGTTGAGTGAAGGATAATCCATGACCTAGCCAAGTGGACTATATATCTATCTTCTTCCAATATTTCCTCCTCAAAATGGCCTAATTCCTTTGAACAAAACAAGTGGTCCACGTTCAAAACTCTGCAGATTTGGCATACGTCATGAGAAAATATTCCAGTGTGGGATCTTTTCTTTTACACATTATTATCGACGGTAATTTGTGTCAAATGAAAGATTTTCTATGCTTTCTGGTCCAATTTATAGGCTGGTAGAGTTAGTTGTTGTTAGGTATAATGCCAAAATAAAAAGATCCTTTTCCTATGAACTGTTTTCATCGTTGCTCACACGTTCGCGGCCGCTGATTTAGGTGTTCATGTTTGAACTAAAAAAAGCGGCATACTCATTCCTAAATAATATTTCTTCTCTAAATTCTTGGATGGGAGAATATAAGATAATATTTGGAATTTTGGAGCCTTTGTAGCCCTAGTGTGTCAAGAGTATTTATCCACGGTGGCCTTGAGAATGGGACCGTAGGCGACCTTTTGAAGTTGAGTTCTAGAGTTCTCTAACTCTCTGGCCTGACCCTTTGTACATTCATATGTATAAAAAAAAAATTTGCTAAACACATGGTAAGTCTATTTGTACATCAAATATTGTTAAAAAATATATCAAAAGAAGAAAGATAGATAAACATTACTTAAATACTGCACGTCTCGTGTTTTTAGACGTAAATTGTACTAATTAAGTTTACATAATCTAATTTTTAAACCAATTCCTTTTCAATTAATAAAATAACTAGCTCATTCAATCTTTCTTGTGAAATCACAACGCAACAATCAACTCAATATTCCACAAATAATAACTTGACAGAGAAACAAACTAAAAACGCCCAAGTCGGAGCGAAAGAGGAGTCCCTATTCGGTATGCCAAATTCCAATCATTTCTATTATTACAATATTACTTATTACGTTCAGTAAATGAGTGAACGGCTGGATTATAGAGACTGCATTTGATAACTGGGGAAAATACTGGAGTGAAGAGGATAGTAATTTCCGTATACGTGTAAAACTATAGTTATGTGTGTGAGCAAAATGAAAAAACAAGTAAAACTTTTTTTTTTTTTGTTGTGGAAAATTATTTTATTTCCTATGATTTTAGTTTTTGATATTTTTATTGAATTTGAATTGGAAAAAATTTAGGAGCCCTAGGCGGGCGCATACTTCAGCTACCCTCAAGGCGGGCTTTGTAAAGCCTTCAACCAATGTTCTTAGGTATGGATATATAGATAGCTCTATTAGGCACATAGAATTAGTACACTTGCTAACATATCTCTAAATATAGATCGATCTAACATATAATGGT